CATCACTGAGAATATCAATACCGACATTCTGTACCATCACTGAGGATATCAATGACGAAATTCTGTACCATCACTGAGAATATCAATAACGAAATTCTGTACCATCACTGAGGATATCGATAACGAAATTCTGTACCATCACTGAGAATATCAATGACGAAATTCTGTACCATCACTGAGGATATCAATGACGAAATTCTGTACCATCACTGAGGATATCAATGACGAAATTCTGTACCATCACTGAGAATATTTACGACGAAATTCTGTACCATCACTGAGGATATCAATAACGAAATTCTGTACCATCACTGAGGATATCAATGAAGAAATTTTGTACCATGACTGAGAATATCAATGACGACATTCTGTACCATCACTGAGAATATTTACGACGAAATTCTGTACCATCACTGAGGATATCAATAACGAAATTCTGTACCAACACTGAGGATGTCAATGACGAAATTCTGTACCATCACTGAGGATGTCAATACCGACATTCTGTACCATTACTGAGGATGTCAATGACGAAATTCTGTACCATCACTGAGGATATCCATGACGAAATTCTGTACCATTACTAAGGATATCAATGAAGACATTCTGTTCCATCACTGAGGATATCAATAACGAAATTCTGTACCATCACTGAGGATATCAATAACGAAATTCTGTACCATCACTGAGGATATCAATGACGAAATTCTGTACCATCACTGAGGATGTCAATAATGAAATTCTGTACCAACACTGAGGATATCAATACCGACATTCTGTACCAACACTGAGAATGTCAATGACGAAATTCTGTACCATCACTGAGGATGTCAATACCGACATTCTGTACCATTACTGAGGATGTCAATGACGAAATTCTGTACCATCACTGAGGATATCAATGAAAAAATTCTGTACCATCACTGAGGATATCAATGAAGAAATTCTGTACCATCACTGAGGATATCCATGACGAAATTCTGTACAATCACTCCGGATATTCACGACTTCATTCTGTACCATCACTCCGGATAATCATGACTTAACTCTGTACCATCACTGAGGATATCAACGACTTAATTCTGTACAATCACTCCGGATATTCACGACCTCATTCTGTACAATCACTCCGGATATTCACGACTTAATTCTGTACAATCACTCCGGATATTCACGACTTAATTCTCTACAATCACTCAGGATATCCACGACTTCATTCTGCACCACCACTGAGGATATCCACGACTTAATTCTCTACAATCACTCAGGATATCCACGACTTAAATCTGTACAATCACTCCGGATAATCACGACTTAATTCTGTACAATCACTCCGGATATTCACGACTTAATTCTCTACAATCACTCAGGATATTCACGACTTAACTCTGTACAATCACTCCGGATATTCACGACTTAATTCTCTACAATCACTCAGGATATCCACGACTTAACTCTGTACAATCACTCCGGATAATCACGACTTAATTCTGTACAATCACTCCGGATATTCACGACATAATTCCGTACAATCACTCCGGATATTCACGACTTAACTCTGTACAATCACTCCGGATATTCACGACTTAATTCTCTACAATCACTCAGGATATCCACGACTTCATTCTGTACAATCACTCCGGATATTCACGACTTAATTATCTACAATCACTCCGGATATTCACGACTTAATTCCGTACAATCACTCAGGATATCAACGACTTAATTCTGTACAATCACTCCGGATATTCACGACTTAATTCTCTACAATCACTCAGGATATCCACGACTTCATTCTGTACAATCACTCCGGATATTCACGACTTCATTCTGTACAATCACTCCGGATATTCACGACTTAACTCTGTACCATCACTGAGGATATCAACGACTTCATTCTGTACAATCACTCAGGATATCCACGACTTCATTCTGTACAATCACTCCGGATATTCACGACTTAACTCTGTACAATCACTCCGGATATTCACGACTTAACTCTGTACAATCACTCCGGATATTGACGACTTAATTCTGTACAATCACTCCGGATATCAACGACTTCATTCTGTACAATCACTCAGGATATCCACGACTTAATTCTGTACAATCACTCAGGATATTCACGACTTAATTCTGTACCATCTCTGAAGGTATCCACGGCTTGTTCTCGTTTAGGTCATATTGTCGAAAGCTTATTTTGTAAACGCAATGCTTTTTACTCAGTTGTTCCCAACAATTTGCCCGAAAACATATTTGTTATTATGTAGCATCTTGTCTTGAAACAAAAGAATATGCATAATTAGTATCAATGTAAATGTCGTATAGGTCTTTAGCGTTCTTGCTTTTAGGCTAGGGGGAATAACTCCTATTATTACACTGTACACGTAGATATGATACGTACTTTGGATCCTAGACTGACAAGACTTTCCTCTCTAATTACTGTGACTTTCCTGGGTATGCAGTGTTGATTTTAGGTCGTCAAAAGCACTTGGATATCTTATCGTTTCTTATATTAACACAAAAAGGCTTCACTCAGATAACGTTCATACAACTAGATGTTGGAAATAAATTCATATTTCAACTTTACAATTTTATCATATCTATTTCTGGTTTTAAAATATATGATCAAGGAGTTCTCATTCTATTTTTAGATTTGGATAATTCTTCACAATAAATGAAGGGTGGATGTAAGTCTAAGTTTGCATGGACACTTAGTCATCACTACAGTTGTTCAACATAAATATGTCTACATCAGAAAATGACCTCTTTTGCAGGTGCTGATTGAGCTGTGATGAGAGAATGGACATTTTGATGTTTCTTCACCTGCAGATACAAAGATATAGAGTGGATATTGCTTATGTGGTTTTGTAATAACTAGCTACTTACGGAATTCTGATTGATATTCTGTAACTAGATAATTTGATGGAAATTTGCAATCTACAACTCCAACTGTTAAAATGCTACATGGAAAAAAAAATTCAATGTTGAGAATACTTGACACCACACATACATGGTCATTTTCAAAATATCACGAATTTTACACAAAGTAATTCTTATTTGTTAATTACAGGTATAATAAATAGCTAGAAATCATTTGTTCTAATTCATTGAAAATATAATTGAACCGGAAGGGTATTATTCCGCTGTGAACCAATTTGCTCAAAAGATGCATGGTTTTTCATACCATGGCATGAACTGTAGGTATCTTCTTCAGTAACCAATCTGACATTTACTGATTATCATAACCCCCTTCCACCAACCACATGAAGATAGGTGCAATATACTGGAATCTCTTTGTATGTAGACTAAGTGATCTGCCCCTCCTTAACCTCTGGATGGATTTCAATGAAAATTGATAGCTAGCAACAATCCTTGGCTTGTAGATCTACATGGGTAATCTATTTTTTCGGCCAGTCCAAAACGTTGGATTTTGACCATCTGTTGGACATAATGCAGGGGGCATTAGTTAGCCCATAGACAACAGATCTGGGTTTATGTGGATTTTTGAGGTTAATGTTACTCTGAATTACAGTAAAAAACATTTTATTCCTAGCTGGCCTCTGTGAAACTGCCAAAATGAAATGCATTGTGATAAGTATGTTAAAGCAATCAATTGATTTTTGAATTTTAAGGCTACTTCTTGCTGCCATGCACTACAATGAAAACAGCAGGCGTTCCAGGGCTACAAACAAGGGCGGACAAGAAAGGTGAGTACACTGTGAGGGAGGTTAAGGAAGCAGCAACATATTGTATGTAAAATATCTATCATAAAATTCTGCTTTCATGTGAAATAAAATGGCATCTACATGTAAGCTATTTAAATTTCATTATTTGCCCAGAAGATCATTTTACATTTGATTTCCATCGCAATACGCTAAAAAAACCCAATCAACTCGTGTATAAAATATAAACTAATAAGCTTTAATGACAATGTAGACTGCACATTCTCATTACACACAAACTTGCTTATCAAATATGAGACTTCCAAGGCACATTGCTGCAGTTACTTCTATAAACAGGTATCCTGTAATCAACTATCAATTGTACATGAAATAAAGTGATTGACCAACATGCCCTATGAAACTTCATGTTAAACTCATTACAAGTGTTGACTATAACATTTTATAAAGTCTTTTTGTCTGTTTTTCAGGTTATGTACAGAGTTTGACGGACAGTGTGATGAGCACGGTGGAGGAAACTTCCTTGAAAGCGTCCAAAAAAGACATTTTAACCGTAACACCTCCAGCATTGTGTAGTTCATTTGTTAAACCAATCAAAGAGGATGCAGTGCAGCTGTTGGGTTCCCGTTTCAATCTGAATGGAAGTTGAATCCCTTGTATTCTCCATCTGGTGATGGGAAGGTTTCCCTGATCTTGGAAACGGCACATGATGGAAGAGGAACACGGATGGTCTTTCCTAAATACCCCCAACACCAACAAACAAACTGTCAATATGCTGTATATCTGTATCGTCTGGAAATAAAAAACATCGATTTATTTTTAAGATATTGGTATATATAAATTTACATCCTTTTTTATGGTTTGATTAATACATATTGCTATACCATAATACCAGAATTTGGACAGACATTATAAAGAACATTGTATATATATGGACCATAGTCATATTGAAACAAACTTTATAAAAAAAGTGATTGTTAAAATTAAAATTTATTATCACAAAAGATATCAGCAGATGTCACAAACAGAAAATTAAATGTTTCCTTATTACTGATAATACCAGTACAAATTACAAGTGAGTGTGACTTTGCAGATGGTGGTCTAAAAACAACAAAAATGGCCACACTGGTGAAATATAATGTATTTCATATGAAACGGGATGCCATTGTATATATACTATCTTTTATCTTTATTGTTTTAATTATACATTTATGATTATATTGGATGTATCCATGTTCTTATTTTCAATCATTGTAAATAAATATGAAGAATTATAATTTATTGTCTATTGTGTATTAAGTAATTTCACTTTTTGACTTACTCAGGTGATTCAGGAATTTCCCCATGCAGTACTCTGTACTGGTAGTACGCCATCAGTAGAACGTAGATGTCCAGGCATACACTCCTGAATCCCGGATGCTCTGTAATGCAGCGGACTTGTTGAGGGAGGTCATCTCTGGTCTCTCTTACTCTGACCAACTCCTCACAACACCTGTTCTCCGCTATGGTTGGCAGTATTGTGCAGCAGCGACAGTCACACCTATTCAAAAACATAAACAAAAAGCCCCTTTAATTTTTATGGTATACATTTGTAATAGGAACGGGTTGGTCAACTTGGTGTAATGTATAGATCTACTTAAATACAGCGTCTGTCACTCAGATGACTGAGCTAGCAGAAAGCTTCTTTGGCTCAGAACAGTTGGTAGAGGCGTTGGTTGTCACACCAGCTAGTCGGCTACCGGGGTTGGATTCCCAGTTGGCGCACTCAATGGGATTATTCACTTTTCTGTTTCACATACCGGTACATAGTGATATTTCAGCATCCTTCAAGATGACATGATTTAATAATACCATACCCATGGATGGTAGGTATTTCTGTTGTCCAGCAATTACAACATGTGGATTACAGTGTCAGCTGATTAACCACAAATCTAGAATGTTAAGATATTGATCCAGCAAAGCAAGGATGCTTCCTTAATCTGAAACCTGTGTACGTATGCCCCTATCTAACTACCTACATATAGTACAAGTATTAGTATAATGTGTATAATACTCTTGGTCAAATCAGTTGACGTCTTGTTAGTTCTGATAAGTTTATTGTTTGCAGTATTGTGGAATTAAGTAAATGTCGGATAAAGATTGTCATGATCAAGAAAACTTTTCACCTCAGTATATTGATAAAGAACCTTCACGACATTGTCCAACTTTCTTACCCCGCAAAATTATAAGAAACAATAATCAACTCGACGAATTTATGACAACAAAAACATACATAGACCAGCATGTTTCTTACATGTACGTCGGCAAAAAGTTGTAATTGTATCGTATATAGCTGAACATAGCTTGTTCATCGTGAAATGGAAACCAAAAACACAAGCTGACCAGGCATGGCCGATTACAGAATACGAATCGTGAAATATGTACACAATATTTTGATTTACATTTGCAGAAGCAAATAATTCACTATATTAGATGACATCTATGAAACTCATCAAATATGCATATATCGACACAACGGCATAAAAATAAATGCATACTCATGGTTTTTTATTAATTATTACCATTCCAGTGAATGTAGTCTGTCGGCGTCCCTGTCGTCCATTTCATAATGATGATGGTTGTTCGCGTCCTGGTCAATCTCGGAGGCAGGTTCTGAATCCGTCTCAAAATCATGTTCAAACTGATAAGGCTTGATTCCGTTGACTTCGTCTGGTTCGTAGTCCGATATCTCAAACTGCATATCCAAATCGCAGTTGTCATCTTCGTTTGGAGAATATCCTTCCGAGCTGGTGTCTGTGCAATCGAAATACGCGGCAGGCATTTTCTGTATTGTTTCACACTTATGACGTCACGCTAATCCAGGCGGAAATCCGGGTGTTGAGGCTAATCGCTAATGAGCTTGTGTGTGACATGTGCGAACCGGGAAGTTTAAACAGCGATATCTCGACAACCCGTTGCTAGTTTTTATTTTCGATATTTATTGCGCTTAACACAACAGAATATTTATATGTAAAAAGTTGCCATTAATTGTACACTTTAATACCTTGTTTTCTCCATGAGATAAACTGTTACTTGGCAAAGTCACATGAGCAACATTGATTTTAATTATTGTATAAAGATATCAATGAATAATCTAACTGGCTGTATCTTGCTCACTAAGCACTTCAGAGTAAACACATTTTCTTTCTTCTCAGACTGTCATACACTGATATGTATAATTATGTCAAATGTAATGTATTGTATGAACATCAAGTTGGAGAAATAGTAAGACAGAACGACTCTACATTTTCCTAAGATTGTAATTTTGAACTGAACACAAAATAAAAGAACAGAAGATGTCAGCCAAGAATTGTATTCAAATATATGTAATTAAACCTCAGTTCCATCACAAACAAACATGAAAACACATATACACGAATTTATAAAATTATAAACAATTTTATGACCCTGAACTTGAGTCAGAAGCACTAGTTAACTGTTCTGGTACAGAGGAATCATCTGAAGTAGCAGTAATTTGTCCAAGTCTGAGTTCCTCAGCTTGTTTTAACAGACGCATGCTAGCACTAGTCTCAACTTCTTCGCAGCTGTACAGTTTAGGATCAGGAAATGATGTGATATTATTAATGGGATCCTTGAAGATGAATGGATTCCAAGGACCTTGTATACTAGGCGTGTCAGTGTGCCATGTCTTTCTTAACCTCATCATTTCCACACCTGATCGAGTCCTCATCGACTCCATCCATTTACAAATGTCCTCCTTTGGTAAAGCAGACATGTTAAGTGTCTGGGTATTGCCATTAACTGCAAAATAAAAGAAAATGATGTAATAAAAATAATACTGGCTGTCAGTATAATTATTTTGATCAAGATATTTTCATCAAGTCAGAAGTCTCAGAACTTCTAAATAATAAGATAAAAAAAATCTTATTTAACTTACCAATCTTGATTTGAACATGTCAGTCAGCTAAAATATACATGATTTACTTCTGAAATTCTATTCAAACTTATAATTGATAATTAACAACATCACATGTGTTATATATACATTTTGTAATATTATTGTATTATCTTTTTTCTGATGTATTCAGATATAAACTTACGAAATGTTGCTACAATCCTGGGTGATCTATGTCTCCTGGGCTTAACATAGACTACAACTCCCGGATTTGCTTTTGAGAAATCCAACAGGTGGTGTTCAATGAAGTCCCTACAAACAAAATAATTTTTTAAAATATCATTTAACTAAGCATCAACAAAATGGGTTGGAAAAAATAATTCGGTCACATTTAAAAAATATGTCTATTGCATTCTCTTAACAGTGGCTTGATCATACTGTGCAGTGTCTCCAGCTTAATACTGTTTGTTTTCATGACATTTGTAAAATTTGACAAACTTAATTTGCACACAGGAAAAGCGTGGTATCCATTTGTATATTACACTAAATTATGATAAACATGTAACAGAGGTCCTTATTTCTTTCAATGCCTCAGCTAGGAATCGAACCCTGGACCCCTGGCTTACTAGTCTGACGCTCAACCAATCGAGCTCAAGAGAAGTTCTCTCTCACTGAAAGGTATACTGCGGCTAGTATTTTACCAGGGTTACATACTCCCCCTTCAGGAAATTACTTGTCTTTGAGTTTCCAGGGGTCACAGCAACGCCGGTGGGGCATGGCTTAGAACTATTCCCAGGTCCCTATATGGGCGCCAATGTAACAGAGGTCATTATTTCTTTCAGTGCCTCCACTAGGAATCGAATCTGGGACCCCTGGCTTACTAGTGTGACACTCAACAAATCGAGCTGAAGAGAAGTGCTCTCTAGCCGAGTGGTATATTGTGGCTAGCATTTTACCAGGGTTACATACATGTACCATAATTTCTTCAAAACCTTTAAATAACACGGTCAATTTTCTTGGGGGGGGGGGGGGAATTGACACCATTTATCTATATACTTAAAAATATTTACAGCTTTTACCAAAAGAACTTTGTGTCAATATTTACACGAGTTATCCCCCTTCGTATAGAAGGAGGTTCGAGGGAAAACTGCATTTCATACTCAATTAAAACAAAATTATTCAGCTGTTTTATCCTTATGGTAAAGATATGGTAATGATAAACGACGGCAACAACTGTGATCACTGTGTCAGTCGTGGCGACATTCGTACATTGAGCTCATACAAAAAAATTAACCGAGCTCGAACTCGTGTTTGGACTTACCTCATGCCTAAGCTGCTGGCGTGAGATTTACAGAAGTTTAAGGTGATTCTTTGCAGCTGAGAAACATAACGACCAAGCCCATTTTGCATGGAATTCTTCAAGAATGTACTTGGCATAGACCGGTTCGTCATGTTCACAAAGAAGTCTGGTGTCCTTGCTTTTGCCTACTCGCCACTTTGAAAACACGCCGGAAATGGAATATTACAAATAAAAAAGAAAGAAACATCTGGATAAAATTCCGGAATTTAACTTTTGCCATCCAAGAAAGACACTACATAAGCCTTAACTGTAGAACAGGTTGTAAACTGAAACTCAAATTCATTATATACATTTTCACCTTTTGAACCTAAAGCTGTGAAGATGATTACGTTATCTGTCCGGTAACATCTTTTTTTATTACATTTTTGCCATGGCATGGATATATAGGAATTTAAGCTTATCAATTTAATAATACTGTGATTTCCTTAAGGCATCAAGTCGGTGATGATAAAAGAAGACGTATATGATCACTAGCAATGATTTTTTTAAAATTATGATATATCTTTCGTAGTTTTGGTATAACACAACAGTTTTGTAAGCGATTCTTACCAGATAACAACACAAAATGCCAAAATACAACGTAAAGCAACCTATTCAAACTATTTGACATCAAACAACACGCCAGTATTTCCCATACTGTCTTTAAATACCGCATTGTTTTATGTTTGGATTGGCCTTTTTTCATTTAATTTTCATATTGATTTCACTGGATGACAGAATCTATATTTTAGAATATTCTGTCCTACTCGTGAAATATATATGATATTAAACGGGAAACCATTAAATATCATTTATATATTAAATGAATATCAGATCGGACAGAATGACAAGGACAATATGATTCCTTACGTTCAACTGTTATCTTGTCCCCTTTTTCCAAGTGGTACGGTAAAGTGTAGTCCGAATTATTCTAACGTCTATTGACTTTTATATCAGCCCGGAGTCAATGAAATCAGAACCCCGTCCCTATAAAAAAAATGAGGAAAATAACCGACTCGTGCATGGGTCGGCAATCAAATGATAACTGTGGAAAGAAATCGTTATTTTCACATGCATATCGCATTTCTTTTCTTTTTAACACAATGAAAAACAATTTTGAATGATACATTTAATTATTACTTTCTCCCTAAATCCCTATACTATTTCTAAAAGTATATTTATGTAACGCATTTTTAGTGGATAATTTATTTTCATAATCTAATCGTCAATTTACTAATGAATACATTGGCCTAACGCTAGCTCAAATATGGCGTTCGTGTTTAATTCCTGTTGAGTATATATGATTGTCCTCGACACTAATAGGATTAGGGTACGATCATAATCATTCAAGAGCCATATTTCGATTCACTTTTCTCCGCTTCCGTGTTTGTCGGCAGTGTCTCGTGTTAAAAACAAAATTCATTATCTAATCTCTAGTAATGCATAAACACAAGCATACGTCCCCTACATGTAAGTACCGAGATAGAAATATATGTTACATGTACGTTCTACACACACTAAAAATGATGCTCCAGATAGCCTGAATAATTATAAGGACGTGTCCTCAGAGACGAACCGTGACCATGGTGGCCATCTCAGATGTTTGTTTCTGGTCAATAGGTCATTCTTTTACCAATCTCTTTTTATTACTCACTTCTACTTTTGCAATAAATTGGACAAGAATTCGACACGAAAGCACTGATCACATGTAATCAATTGAACCTCGGTGACTATATCTCACTGCCTCAAGCATAAAAGATAATGACTTGCTCTTAGAATAATGATTTAGAGTGCAATCAGACTTCCTTGAAAAAGTCTACTTTTAGAATTATTGATAGCCGTTGATAATCATTTATCCCAACAGATTTGATCAAAAGCAGGAAAATTGGCTGTAACTACCATAACACAATCATATGTTCAATACTATTCACATTGTGGACAGCCCAGAGTATAAATCTGTTAAATATCAGCTTTAATATGACATTGCGACTATTATGGTATGTAAAACCCGATCACTGTCGGCAGAAAATCCTGATTTTTTGTAAGCAATAATTACTTTTTCAATTGAGTGACGGAGATTAACTTTAATCACCATATAATGTCACTGATATGGGCTAGATCACCACAGTCTAATTTGCGTGATGACCGTCACTGGTCAGTTGACGTAGTTGTAATACTGCCAACATCAGCACAATTGCTGTGCGTATGGTCATTCACAGGACATTTAGAAACTTAAATACTATATATACATCTACATAGTTAAATGACACACCGATCGGTCACTTCATCTGAAAACGGGATTGATAGAATTCAAATGAAGAAAGCAGGGGATAAGAGCGAATAAGATTTATAACGTGAACATAGTTACCTTATGGCATCTATCATAAACATGTCATTTATTTTAAAGGACACTTTTGTGTCTGCAGAGAACGAGCACACAAGTTTTTATTGTATCAACATTCAATTTTTTTTATTAGCAACGTTTACAATGATAAATATACGCGAGAGAACTATAATTTGCCATGTCTTTGACTAGAACAAGTAATGATGTTTTGTTCGATCAATAACGTGTCAAGGTAGCTCATTGACCCGATTCTCATCTCTCCGACTCAGTTAGCATGACAAGAGGAAATAAATTAACAGTGCGGTTGTCATAGTAGTTACCTAATGCAACGAAAACGTTCAGATATGCTTAAGACCGACAAATGAGTTATTTCAATTTAAAAAACATGTATCCGTCTTTGAAAAACAATATAATTTGATTTTATTGACGGGGAATCTGATTTTCTATGCAAATACAATCAAATGTATGTAATCAGTCCAACAACAACACACTTATATATGTTCTGTTTTGTTTTGATAACCACAGATTTTCTTAAAACATTGAAAGTACGTATGCATATTACTTTATATACTGGGTTAGGACAGCAATGGATGCAATCGAACATCTGAAGACGGAGACAGGCGTCATTGACAACGTGAACAAGAACAAAATAATGTAGTTCCAAGATCAAATTATTACTGTTGGTGCTTTTACCCACATTTTGGAAACATTTACAACCGGTATCAGTGAAGACAAGATCACATTTTCTTGATCAAGCTTAAAATCATTGCGTCTGTTGAGATTCATCACGAAGCTGTGTGACTGTAAATATTAAACTTTTCCTTTTTTCTTTATTTCACAATTGCAAAACAAATGTTCTATCAACTTATGTCACAAAATAGTAAGTTTTCTTTGCCCGAATGAAAGCGCTCGAAGGATTTTTCAGTGTGGGAGGACACAAGTGTACGCGGGTAAAATAGCATGGTCGGACAGGTGACCCATATCATCTCATGTCGAATCCCGATCGCCAAAATGAAGGCGAGCGAGTTAATACTGAGCTAACCGACCGCCTATGTTAATAACTAATAAAATCCAAATGACTCTTTTTGGATGATTTGATACGAAATTTAGATGAATCACTGTAATAAATGCTATTTTATGATAATTGATAAAGTGCGTTTCTATTTTGACACATTCTCGCTTGACAGGTAAAGTGACACGATTCATATTTCGGAACATTTTTTTCGGGTTGGTAAGACAAGTCGATGAGATAATTCATTTAACACAACCAGTGGAAGATTAAGACTATACTGTCACTTTCATCAGACAAATTACCTGTGGGAAACATAATTCCACTCACGTACATGTATGTAGTGTATGAGTCACATCAGCGCCATCAGGAATCCCTGATTGAGCAACGGAGAAAGTTAAGAACGTAAACGTCAGCAAAGAAAAGACAAAGTGACGAAATATCAAGGATAACAACAAAATGAAAGACAGGTAGTCATTCCTTACATCAAAAACAAAGAAACCTTTCGGACGGTTTATTGTGGTCATGACGTTAGAACAGCAATGAAACCTCATATGACTCTCCGAAATACTAAGGATAAAGTAACCAACGAAAACGCATATACAAGAAAAGATGCAAGACCTGTATATCGAAGAAATGGCAGGAGATTCGGGGTCCAATTGAATGATCATCAGAGAGTCACGGAACACCAAGATGGCAAAAAATTTACCAGATCAGAGCGAAAGCAATCTCCGTTCCAGATCAGTAAATCGGCACGTACAGATCATTCCGCACAGCAAAAATTTATCATTGACTGGGAAAATTCCAAAATAGTCGACAGGGAAACAAAGTTTATAGATGGCAGGTCATAGAAGGCCATTAGGATACGCCACAGCGGAACAGTACTATACCGAAACGAGAAAGGGGCGGGGGGGGGAGGGTGTGGGTGGCACAGACATCTCACACACATATATCAACAATCAGTAAACAAAGCGACTACAGTGTATTGCTACTATCTCGTCAGTCACACTATTTTCTACATAAATACTTCAATAAAAATTGGATTATAGCAAAGCCGAAAAATTCGGTCGATTCCTTACCATCTCGTGCGCTACATATATATCAATGCTAGTCTACTTCGTCTTTTGTCTGATGAAGTGTCGATGTAGTCATGGAAACGTCACATTCAGACCTAATTCTAATGGCGCGATTAAGAATATAAATATGTACTTAATGCTGTTTTAAAACCATTTGGTATTGCAAAGTACGAAATTTATTAAAATTTTGGGACGTGTTTTTTGCTTCCATACATTTATAGAATTTCATTTTCAGATATATTGTTGACATCATATCTTTTAATAACAATACATTTATTGACCACGTCCATCGTATATACCTAACAAAATAGGAAATCAAAAACATGAAAGACTCGTCTACATCAGCGGTTTATCTCGGTCTTTTCATATAGCTAAATAAACACGAATAGCTTTCTACCAAGCTCTATGATTTTTTTGGTAACTATCACCAACATGTCAATATAAGGCAATTCCTAAACTATATTGAGGGCACTACGCTTACGTGGTCGTGCCCATGGGGACGACACTTTGTCCGTAACGCCTTGAATGGCATGCGACGGATTTCCCGCATGTTGGTCAGTCAGGTAGTCACCAACTCCTTCAAGGAATGACCCTGACTTTTCACGGGGCGATAAAGTAACACATATATAGAACATTAAGTCTGTAGAGAAATGGCTACGGACAGGAAACACGCGTTTATGTCGTATGTAGATACAGACAGATTTTTTTCACAGATTGCTGCCGCCCTGA